TAACCAGTAGTGCTTGCTAGCCACCCAAATCGTAGTGATCTGAATACCCAGACAGACGGTTTGTTCACTCGATCGGAGATGAGTTCATTAGTTGTATATGCTCCGTGTGACTGAGTTCAGATGGCTAAATCATTTCAAACCACCCAGTTTTTGCCTAATTATTTTTACATATCCGAAGATGACTGTGAGACATCTGAAATTTAAAACTCATAAGCATAAGTGAAATGGCGGATGGCTGAATAACTTCGATAACATTAGTAATCTGTATATGCAAAGATCTTTTAAAGACGGCTGTTACACTAGTTTGCTAGCTAGCTGGTTACATATTTAACTATTTTGAGTCTATGTAGTGTAGTGTAGACTGCTTTGCCTGGGTCCTTCAGACGCTAAGAATAAATAATTTGAGACTGCTGAGAACATATAGTTTATTGATAGTAGATGGTTGGAGACGATCGGCCACAGGAAGGCCTATCTGATCTAGGTTTCGTGCTGGTTGGCACTCACACCAGTCAACAAGGCGTATCAGCAATCTTGAAGGGACTGCTGTCCCTCCTTCTGAGATTTGAACCCACGTCACCCAGTGAGTGCTGCAGCCAGAGACGTTACCACTGAGCTATTCGAGCTCACGACTGACTGTATTGGATATTTTTGATTGGACACTATTCAGTAACTAGTGTAATGTGTCTGGTTTAGTTTTCAATGTGTATCCAATAGATTCCTATAGGATGTCAATCACGAGCATGAATAGCTTCTCAGTTTTAACGTCTCTGACTCCATCACTCCCTGATGACTCTGGTTCCGGTCTTCTTGGGAGGCATGAGTTCCTTGGAGATTGCAGACACGTCTTGCAGACCATGAGTGCTAACTAGCGAGAAAATTAGGTGCAGCTAAGGCTTCCTGTCGATAACCTCCAACTATCTAATAACAACAATTCAAAGGGTACTGTGATGGCGAGCCACCTACTGGCATGGTGACCACATTTCAAACTTGACTGGACACAGAATTCAGTCTACACCAAACAAAGGACCAGACACATTACACCATTCACTGACGTTAAATTGTAAAATAAAACGAATAGAAGAAGGTAAACTGCACTGCTAATAGATATTTAGACCTCTTTAATTCATCTCATCCGTTATCTCTCTGTGAAGGCAGGCTTAGTTAAGTGTCTAACAAACCGAGCAGTACCACTAAGTAGCACAAGAAAAGACCTAAAAGATGATATAAAACAGATAGATGAAGCGTAGCATCAAATAACTATCCTATAAAATTCATTAGGAAGATCAGAAAAGGTCAAAAGCAAAATAAAAATAGTAGTGAAACTAGTAATGATAACATGTTTAAGAGAGAATATAAGGCACCTACAGTAGTTTTATTATATGAGAAGGGGGCACCTGAAACCCTCTACACGTAGGATTCTCAACAAAGTAGGAATTAGGGTGGCATTCAAACCTACAAACTCACTCAGGGAGGACAAGCTCTGTAGGCTAAAGGACCCTGTCGGTTGACCCAATTAGACAAAATAATATAATTTACAAAATACCCTGCAATGACTGTGAGTTAGGTCAACTACATAGGTCAAACTAGTAGATCGGGGGTAGTCAGATTGTCAGAACATTGTCAGAATTTAGCTAAGGTTAGAATGATTGATCCCAACTGCGAAGGTAAGTAATTTAGGAAAAAGCACACAGCGATTGCACTGCATGCATTAACACACAACCGCATAATGGGGGGGAGAGGGTTAAAATTCTAAGAAGTAATCTAGGTAGGTGGAGAGAGATGGAGAGTTTGATTAATGAATCCTTATTCATCGAGTCTACACCCAATACATGCAATAGGAATGACTCATCCCTCATATCAGAAATATGGAAAGTACTACTTCCAATCAAGTCAAGCGATGAAAAATAATGGAATTATATAAACGAAGTAAGAAAGTTGTGTGAGTAGTACCTTGATATGATTATGAGCAGTAATAAATTGTGCTCGAAACGTCATCGGGAAACATTACTGTATAACAACACTGTGAGACTTTATCAAAACAAATTATACCCATAGTGTTTATCGTCGGATTTCCGAACATCATCCTGAGTACTTAAGTTAAGGACAAGCGAAATCCATTAATAGCTCAATTCTGTCTCATCTCGTTGATACAAGAGAACACAAAATTGATGTTAACGAGGTGGCTTTCACAGTCATCTACCGCTCATACCAACTAAGCCTAACTTTGCCTCACGAGTTGTCCACTATATATTGCCGAGGCTAGCTGTTAAAATCTACATTAAGAAGCGTAATCTATGTATCCAAAAGAAGAAGTTGGTTCAGACGCTTTCCTTACACCCCTGGCAATCAAGGTTCTAATGATCCTCAATTTGTTGTGGAAATTTCTTTTTTTTATTTGATATTCTATTTGCTATTATATTTTTACGCTTATTATAATTTATGCATCTTTCTTGAACTGTGGTAATTCCATTGATCTTATTTAACAAATCGATAGTAATTGAAAACACCAATATTGTTAATGACGACTATTCTAGAATTTCAGTTTAGTGCGTTACAAAGATTAGTAAGATGGAAGAGATAGGCTTAGCTCCATAGGTTGTAAAGGAACCTGAGGTTATAGAAAGTTCAAGAATAAATTTCAGTTATGTGGACCCGCTCCAGCTAAGTGAAGAAGATTTGTATGTGAAACTAAAGAGCCTAAATAAGCAGATCGAGTTCATCCAAGTTCAAGAAAACTACATAAAGGATGAACAAAAGAATCTGAAGAAAGAATACTTACATGCTCAAGAGGAGGTCAAACGAATTAAAAGCGTTCTTCTTGTTATCGGTCAGCTTTTAGAAGCTGTAGATCAAAGCACTGGGATTGTAGGATCAACAACCGGATCCAATTCTTATGTTCACATTTTATCCACAATCGATCGTGAACTCTTGAAGTCAAGCGCTAGTGTCGCCCTCCATAAACACAGCAATGCTTTCATTATGGGTAAACTTTGTTTTTATAAAGTCTCACAGTGTTATACAGTAATATTTACTGATGACGTTTCGAGCACAATTTATTGCTCATAATCATATCAAGGTAATCACACGACTTCCTAAATTCATTTATATAGTTCCATTGTTTTTCACTTGATTTGATTGGTAGTAATATTTTCCATATTTTGGGTATGAGTGATGAATCATTCCTATTGCATGTATTGGATGTAGATTCGATGAACAAGGATTCAGTAATCAACCTCTCTCTCCACCTACCAAGATTGCATGCATTGCAATTACTGAGCTTCCTCCAAAATTCTAATCTTTTCGGGTTCAATCATTCTTACCTCAGCCAGTAAACTCTTATTTTCTGACACTCTGACTACCCCTGACCTACTAGCTTGACCTATGTAGTTGACCTAGCTCACAGTCATTGCAAGGTATTTTGTAAATTATATTATTTTAGCTAATTGGGTCAACAGGGTCCTTTAACCTACAGAGCTTGTCCCTCAGTGAGTGAGTTTGTAGGTTTGAATGCCATCCTAATTCCTGCTTTATTGAGAATCCGACGTAGGGTCTCGGATGTCCCCTCTTTATATGGTATTACTGTAGATGCCTTATATTCTCTCTTAAACATGTTATCATTACTAGTTTCACCATTATTTTTATTTTGCTTTTGACCTTTTCTGATCTTCTTAATGAATTTTATAGGATAGTTATTTGATACCAACGCTTCATCTATCTGTTTTATCTCATCGTTCAGGTCTTTTCTTGTTCTACTTAGTGCTACTGCTCGGTTTGTTAGACACTTAACTAAGCCTGCCTTCACAGAGAGATAACGGATGAGATGAATTAAAGTTTAATATCTATTAGAATGCGTTGGTTTTCTATAAACACTAGTGACAGCAATGACACTAATGACAGCAATGCTTTGGTTGACGTCTTCCCTCCAGTTGCGGATAGCAGCATTACGACGCTACAGGTAGATGAGAAACCTGATGTTTCCTATGCTGATATTGGTGGGATGGATATTCAGAAGCAAGAAGTCAGAGAGGCTGTTGAACTGCCTTTAACTCATTTTGAATTGTATAAACAAATTGGAATTGATCCACCTAGACATGTGTTAATGTATGGTCCACCAGGTTGTGGCAAGACAATGTTGGCTAAAGCAGCTGCACATCATACTACTGCTACTTTTATTCGTGTGGTTGGATCAAAATTTTTCCAGAACTACTTAGGCGAAGTTCCTCGAATGGTTCGTGATGTGTTTCGCTTAGCTAAAGAAAATGCTCCAGCAATTATATTTATTGACGAGATCGATGCGATTGCCACAAAACGATTTGATGCTCAGACTAGAGCTGATCGTGAAGTACAACGTATTCTTTTGGAACTTTTAAATCAGATGGATGGATTTGATCAACATGTAAATGTTAAAGTGATTATGGCTACAAATCGTGCAGATACATTAGATCCCGCGCTTTTACGACCTGGACAACTTGATCGTAAAATTGAATTCCCAAAGCCAGATCGTTGTCAAAAGCGTTTTATTTTCTCAACTATCACTAGTAAAATGAATCTCAGTGATGATATAAATTTAGAAGATTATGTGGCTAGACCAGATAAAATCTCCGGTGCAGAGATATCAATGCAATCTGTCAAGAGGCTGGTATGCAAGCAGTTCGAGAAAATCGTTATGTTGTGTTAGCGAAAGACTTTGAAAAAGGTTATAGAAATAATTTGAAGAAAGATGAACAAGAATTGGAGTCTTATAAATAATACTGTTTGTCTTACCTTCTCTACATATTCCTATTATTATTATTATTATTATTATTATTATTACTAATCGAACAAAAGTAAGAAGAATACCTCTGATAAATGAATATATATATATATATATATAATTGTAGAGCCAAAAGAGGAAATTATCGAAAAGGATGTTCTCTGTTCAATTTTTTTATTCGTATTTAGTTGAACTATGATCTTTTTATTTTTTGTTTGCTCTTGTTTTTTATTTTTTCTTCACTTAGGTAAACGATGTTGTATTCCGATAACAGGACGTTTACTCAATGTTCTAATGGATCTTTTAAGTATTGAAAACATTGATATTGTACCTTATGTGAATGGTGCATTATATTCGATATTAGCATTACCTGAGATAAGAAAAACAGCCGAGAAAATGGTAAGTCATGAATTATGATTTTTATGCCTTGAATAAATAAATGAGTTATTTTGTTTGAAAGGCAACACATGTGAGCGATTAACTGACATTTAGATATAGTGAAAAATTTGTAGCTTAAGTGGATGATTTTGATGTAGTTGTGTTCTCTGAGCTAGCCGGATGGTTTATTTGCGAAGTTTTCATTGTCCTACTAGGCAACATCTTCAGCTCATACTTAATTTCGTTGAAGTGAACTTTTGGATTTCTCCACAGGTTTATTAGCCATCTCTCCTGGTTACCTTCAACGTCGTGATTGGTTGTTTTCGTGCGTTTTCACACCCTCTGGGCTACTTGTGTAACGACAGAAGGCAAGAGTCAGGCAACAGATCATTTATTAAGGAAATCAACACATATTTATATATTTGCATGTACATTACTATGGTTATTTAAGTAAACAAACACAGTCTTCCGATTGGTTGTTTCTCACGTAAAGTTAATCTTTCATCTATTTGTGACTGTTTCTTGAATGTCAAATCATCTATATGTTCACTGCATCCGCCCACGCAAAGTCTGCTGTGGTCGGTTTTGAATCAATCTTTGTTCATATTTTCTCACGAGCAGTATTGATAACGTAAACATGGACGTAAATTACTGTCTACCGATTTGGCTAGTAGACAGCTCTCACCACACTTGTATTGTACTGGTATTGATTGTCTCCTTGATTTGAAGTTTGACCATTTGTGTGTGAGATTTTCTTCTTATCGATTAGTAAGTTTTGTTTATGTCAATGTGTCTATTGATTGATGATTCACTGGAATCCTAGGCTTCCAAAACTTCTCTGCCATTCTTAATGTTTCCTCTGTCTAATATTTGAACGTTATCCCAGTCTGTATGAAGTGATATGAAGGAGTGGATGCCATGTCTTTTGACGGCTAGTTTATGCTCATGGATTCGAAGATGAAGAGGATGTCCACTTCGACCGATGTATTTTATTTCACAATCGTTCTAATTCATTTTGTAGATGATGTTGGTTTTATCTAATTTCGCTGTTGAGTCTTTTGGTTGAAATAGAGCTGAGTGGAGTGATTTTGTTGCTTCGTGTGCGACATTAATTCCTAGAGGTTTGAAGAGTCTTGTGGTGATTTCTGAGATGTTCTTTATATAAGGTAGGGTGATTTTCTTTGTGCTTTCCTTAGAGGTGTTTGATTTGGTAGGTTGGCTTGGGGGTATACGTCTTATGATGAAATTCCATGGATATCCATTCTTCTGGAAGACGTTCATGAGATATCTTTCTTCAATTTTCCTTACGGTAGGAGTGCTGCAATGAGTCCTGGCCCTCTTGAAAAATGTTTGCATACAACTCATTTTGTGTGTTATTGGATTGTTGCTGTTGTAATTCAGTATTTGATCTGTGTGAGTTGATTTTCTACAAACTTGACTATGACGTCCAAAAATGGGATTCTGTTCTTGGATTCTTTTTGTCGTGTAAATTTGTTGTCGTTGATGTCGTTGCCTAGTAGGGCAATGAAAGCTTCGCAGATAAACCATCTAGCCCAGAAGACACAACTACATCAATAACTAACATTCACATAAAAGTGCAACAGTTCAAAAGGGACACATGTCCTAAGTGTACTATACATGCAGAGCCATCACGTGCCTTGACGAGCTTTGCTCCTTGACAAAGGATTAGTTTGAAAAATAGCTACGGGTGACGGTAGAATCAGAAACTTGCATCCGTCCACGAAGCCGTTGACTGCTGGTTTAAGCCAGCCATGTAAGGAGGTGTAGACTCTCTGGTTAGGATCCTCAGGATATGGCTCAAAAGCTTTCGCATTGACGCAGATGGATTCGCTCACTATAATCTCTTACACCCGTTGGAGACTCATGGCTTTCCATTTTACCATTCCTTCTTTCTGCCACACACTTCTGCTTAAAACACTTTCTACGAACTCCTTTTACCCCTCTTTTCTGCACTTTTGTGTGCTACATGGAGTGTGGTAACGTGAAATGATTCACTTTAGTGTAAGACTCTATGATAGGACTCAGTTAGTCATGTTGAAAGTGTACACGGAAAAATTAAGTAAAATGATGCAATGGAACTACGATGCACTAACAATCACAAGGGCAAAGTTAAATTTTATTATTATTACTATTGTTTCCTTTAATTCCTAGAGGAACATAGGGCTTCAGCCGTGCGTCTCCATTGCGTTCGATTCTCTGCTAGAGTCTTCACCTGGCTCCAATTCTGCCCACACGTTTTCATCTCCTCTTCACATGACCTCCACCAAGTCACCCTTGCACTGACGAACAACTCGCCGCTTCCCATTCGGATTCCACTCGAGTGATGGCTTTTCTAGTGATGTCACTTGATGGTTTCCTCAGAGTATGACCAACCAATCCATCTCCATTTCTTCCTGCCTATTTGTTTCACAATCGGCTCCTGGTTGGTTCGCTGCCAGAGATCTCTCTCTGTTGCTGATGTTTACTGGCTGGCTATCTGATCTTAAGTATTGAGCAAAGACAACTGTTAATGAAAGTCTGTAGTTTGTTTGAGGTGGTCTTTATGACGCGTAGTGCAAGTCTCTGATCCGTATAGTAGCACTGACTTCACATTGGAGTTGAAAATCCGGATCTTATTTTTAATGCTGAGTGTTGACCTCCACACAGACTTGAGAGTAGTGAAAGCTTGTCTTGCTTTCTCGATTCTTGCTTTGATACCCTCATCAATTCCGTCCCCCTGTAGTTGAAACGATGCTTCCCAGGTAGGTAAAGGAGGTTGTTTCTTTCAGGTTCCTTCCATTTATGCTGATTGTTGTCTGTTGTTTCTATTGCTGTTGGTGGTGTTGCCCAGGAATCTTCATCACCTCTGTTTTCTCTATGTTCACCTGAAGTCCTATCTTTGATGCTTTTTAAATTTTAAGCACCACTAACTACCAATCAGCGAATGACCTCGAACGCACCAATCACCTGAAGGAGGCATTTTTGTGTATGGAATACACATGTTTATGAAAAAGATGCATAAAAACTGTAGAAAAGTGTTACAGAGGATACCTTTCAGTTTTAGGTTGGAGTATCAACAGTATAATTCCATTGCGGGTAAAATTTATTTTGATGAAGTCTCAAAGTGTAATACAGTAATATTTACTAAGGAATAAATTGTGTTCGAAATATGGTCATCAGTAAATGTGACTGTATAACACTATGAAACTTTATCAAAATAAATTTCACCCACAATGGATTTGTACTCTGCCACAGTGTACAAGTGCTATTCTTATATCAACAGAGTAATTTAACCACATTCTATGCATTTAATTATATAGGTCTTCTAGCCCAAACAATAACCCTAATCTTTCCTGAACCTAACTTTAACGTGAAAATATCCCTAAACTAACTGTAATCTAACTCAAATCAACCCCAACGTCCCCTTTAACTAGGTTAACCTAACCCTAACTTGTCCTTGGCTTAAAGCGTAACTTAATCTTTCTCAAACCTAAGCTGAAACTTGCCAGAAATCCCACTTCGATTGAGCATATTTTATTGGTGATGACAACATTATTTGCCAGGTTTCACTAACACTTGCTCAGTGAGCGTTTCAAGGTCAATGGTGCGGTCGCACTCCATTGGTAGTTAGTTAGTGGTGCTTAAAGTTTAACTTGGCCATCATAAGGAAGATAACAGACAATGCAGTTTAGATAACTGAAAACTTCTGGAATCTTGGTAGTCACAAGGACTGAATACATCTGTTTCATTGTGAACGATTTTAAAGCCTTATCACCAAAAACGTCTCTAAAAATTAAAAGTTAGCATTTCTGAAGAACCCAGTCGTGTGGCTGGCTTAAATCAACAGTTAACGACTTAAAATACTGACGTCGTATACTCCAGCTGAAAATATCTTGTGTTTGACATCGTTTGTCAATGGAATCTGTTGTTCAGCATGCGTAAAACATGTCCATGGTGCTTCAAATAATAATAATAATTTGCTTTATTCCAAAAAAGTACTTGTGATACAGAATGGAATTCTCAGCATTTTTACTACAGTATTGCATCCAGCTAGTACATTATCAATAAATAGAATTCTACGTAGGTTAAGGAAATCTCAGTTCATTATGACAACAATACATTGGCATGTCAGTAGCAAAGGTAAAGCTGAAACAGTGTTTGAAGGTGTTAGAAAAGTGGGAGCTGTCTTATTAACTGGCGTAAGCAAGAGAAAGAAACAAAGCAGCACATAACGGAAAAAGAAGAGAGAGAAAAGGAAAAGAAAGAAAGAAAATGTTGTACCAATTGATGATGTCAGTTGGAAAGACGAGATCCAGTTGTCCTACTGACTATTTAATGAATTATAGGTGTCACGCCTAATCCTTTCTTTATCACACAGAACACGAGCTAAGTAGGGTATGGTTGAGTTTTTGTACTTGCTGGTGCGAACATATAGTTTTCTATATAGGCTTCTGGTTTTGCCTGATGAGATGCAAAGGAAGAGTTGTGAGCTAAGAGGGTGGTGTGAATTAGATGAAACGGATTTGGCCCATTTTTCACATGAGTCCATGTGTCTGTCAACTAGAATATTAACAAGCTGGTTAAGTGGCACGTTGCTTACCCTGCTGACAACCTTTAACATCCTGCGTAATATGTTATAGTCTTTCTTCAGTAGCCCGGAATAAACTAAGGGGGAACAATAGAGAATAATAGGCAAGATGCAAGAGTTAGCGAATTGTAGGAGTAAGGGTTGGGTTATACCAGAATGTTTTAACTTCTTGATATAGAAGGTAAGACGGAATATTTTCTTAGAAATCGCCAAGATATGAGACGACCAGGAGAGATCAGAGGATAGAATGATGCCTTGATATTTAATTTATGACTTGGTTTCTATTTCAGTGCCATCTATGTTGCATAACTCGTGAGAGCCAACCAGTTTGTTTAGGTCGGATTTATGCCTAAAGGTGAAGTTGACTGTTTGGCATTTGGAGGGGTTTAAGGTTAGACCGTTTTCCTTGGACCACTGGTTGATTTCTGACAGA